CCTCCTTGGCGCTGCCGACGCGGACGCGTTGCTCCGACATTTTGAAGATGGATGACGTGAAGGTAGCCTTGGGCGTATAGGTGCGGGGAAGAGCGGAGAGCAAAGGTCGAGCTGCGGATACCAACAGAGAAGGCTGGCGAAGCAGAAGCATCAAAAGGCGAGGCTGGGTCGAGACGATGGTGCGCTATCGTCGAGTGTATATGTTGGAGATGAAGGAGGGCACGGGCAGAGCGGGCAGGCAGACATACATTACCCTCCGGAGACGCTGACCCGCTGCTGAACCCTGCGTGGCTGCTCGTGTAATCCGGCGCTGCTGTGGGGATCGCCAGCAACCAAGCCTCGCATCGACACCGACTCAACTACGCTCTCGAGCGCTCGATTGACCACGCCTCGAACACGGGTTTGGAGCAGCCTTCTGCGGCGCACGTTCTACACGGGCCGTGCCAGCGGAGAGGCTCACTCATCCCCTCATCACAACCGTTTCCAGCTGTTGTGAGCAATCAGCAAGACGTGTGTTCCTCCACATCGCAGTCCTTTGCTGCAGCTGCTGCGTTGTTGTTTCGCTCCGATGCAGACACTGCCAACGTGCCGGCTTTGCAGCAAGCAACGCCTCGCCATGCTGATCCATCTGTCATGCACGTCTGCCGCGCCTGCGTCATAAGGCTCTGACCAATCGTCAGGCGCAGATTTCCATTCAAGGTCCAATCGGTCTAACACATTTGCCCAAGATAACTAGGCCTAACAAGTACAAATTAATTTTCTTCGTCCCACGGCGCTCGGGTTGGGATTTGGCCGAAGCAGAGTTGCCGCAACCTCGCGGACCCTGGAGCATGAACGCTTTGTCTCCCCCACTGTTGCTTTGGCGGAGAACAAAGCCTGCGCTTCTTCTCCGCATCCTTGGCATCCCCCTCCCCCACATTATAAGGGCGTGGTCACTGTTCTCCCCCATCGCGCACTGTAACCATCACTCTGCCTTCTACACTGCCAAGACATAACGTTTTCAGTTCGCGCGCAACATGACGATCCAGCATCCCGGCGAGATTGTGCACCTTGCCTCGTCGCTCCTCGCCGAGATCGGGAGGCACTCGACGGTGGATATCGACAACAACCAGGCCTCGGTGGGGCTGCAGCATAATCTTGCGCGCCGTCGCATGCATGAGCTTGCTAAAGAGGAGGGCAAGCAGGGAGTTGAAGCTCAGGAGCAGGTGCTCAGCGAGCTCGAGTCGCTCTTCACCGACATGACGTCAAACCAGATCATCGTCGCCGGCACATTCAAGGAGCTCGCTCGCAGCGAGCCCGGTCAGGCGCAAAAGCTGCTGCAGACATGCACGTCCACCACCAAACAGATCATCGCTGGCACGTACGATGGCCAGCAGCTCGACAGCACCATGCTGGACCGTCTCTCGGTCAGCACTGGCGGGTTGACAGCCTCCGAGAGCGAAAAAGAGCGACTGCAGCAGCTGGCTTCCGACGTGCTCACTGTGCACTTTGGCCTGCTCATGCTGCCGAACCTCGTGGCTACCGGCAATCTGCACGCGCAGACCATGACTTCCAAGGCGTACGACCTCCACGCTACTGTGCGACACGCGCGCCGATTCGTAGCGCTGTACCAGCTCATGTCCGGCGGCAAGGTGGACAGCGAGCGCGTGTGCATCAAGATCCCCACCACTGTGCCGGGACTGCAGGCCATGCGCTACTTGTCCTCGGGCGGTGAATTGGACGAGTTTGGCGTCGGCGGACTGCTGCCAGAGGGACGCATCCAGGTGCTGGCCACCACGATCTTTGCCGTGGAGCAGGGCCTGGCGGCAGCCCAGGCGGCGGGAGCACTGTACACCGCGCCGTACATCAACGCGCTGGCGGCGCACTTTTTTGGCGCCGACAACCCATCTGCCGAACAGCGTGCTGAGGCAATCGATGCGGGCCGCCGCTCGGTGGACGAAACCATCGTTCCGCTGCAGCGATGTCTGCTGCGGCTGCGAGCTGACGACGCCGCCATCAAGACCAAGGTGATGGCCGCGTCATTCCTCAGCATCGATGAGGCAGTCGCACTGTGCGGACTCGACCACATGACGCTCGGTGCCAGCATCCTCGAGGGCCTGGCCAAGACCGAGGTGACTGCCGCATATGCAGCTGCTACGCAGCAGGCGCGCAGCAGATTTGTCGCCGCACCCGATGCCGAGCTGGAGCAGTACGGAGCGGTGCTGGCGGCCCAAGAAGCGGGCCAGCTCGGATGCGGTGGCTGGCTGCACCCGGACTCGCGCTCGCTCGCGCGTCTCATTGCCGCGCTCACCCAGGACGACAGGTGCCGCTTCATGCTCGCCGATGCCCTCGCACGCTTCACCGCCTCCGAGATCGAGCTGCGCAACCTCTTCTAGGCAGCGTCGGGATCATTGTGGTTAGGGGTATCATGTAAACGATTCGTGCGAAATGATGAGAAGTCACAGCTACCAGAAGCCATCGTCACCTTTGAGTGTGCGCATCCAGAAGCCGTCTCTCTTCTTTTCCTGCTGTCTGCCTTCGGCCTGCAAGACTGGTGCGCCTCCTGGCCCGGCGGCTGCTGCGGTTGCCGACCCGATGCCCATGGCGACCGAGGTTCCTGGGGTAGGATTGAGCTTGGCTGCATCCTCGGTGTCGTCGAGTGCATCGTCCGCGGTGTTGGAGGCGGGAACGGGGTCCGCGCCATCCTGGTTGCCTATGGCGATGGTCTTGCCGGTCTCGTCGACGAGGGCAAAGGGGACGGTGGTGTCGGTTTCGATGACGAGCAGTCCGTCTGCCCTGGACGCCTTGGGCCCGCCCGTGATGCGAATGGTGCGATCGCGGTCAATGTACCATCCTGACGAGCTGAGGACACTGCCCTGGAGCAGCTTTTGCAGCGCCGACTTGGATGCCGTTGCCGCCTTGTCCTTGAGCTGCTGCTCGACGGGCTTGGTCTTTCCGTTCGCGCCCTTGGCGCCTGCGAGTGCACCGCCTCCAATGCCCACGATCTGTCCGACCTTGGCCACCGTCTGGCCCTTGGATGCGTACTTGAGCAGCCGCTTCACCGTGGGCGTGTGCGTTGCCACGGTCGCCGAGACGCGCGCTGCCACCGCCGAGATGGCTGCCGCCGTACCGCCCGCTGCCGCGCTGGCGCCTGCAAAGTAGATTGCACCTGCACCGAGCGAGAGCGCACCGATCGTTACAGCAGCGATGGGTGCATAGGTCTGAAACTTGTCGTAGCCATTGTCGCCACGGTCGATGCGCGCCTGGATGGTGAACCAGACACGGCCGGTATGCATGGTGGCACGGCCACCGTTGGGCTGCACCGAGTTGGCATAGTGCAGCGGCGACACCTGCTTGAGGCAGATGTTGAGCGGCACCTGCGTGTCGTTGATGATCGTCACGTTCGGCATGGCTGCATGGACTGGGTGCTTGGGATGGTGGCAAGGACGCAGGCGGAAGGACGTCACTTGGCTCAGTTGGGCATGCAGGATGCGAGCCCAGCTGCACAATGAGGCTGTGAGCCGTGGAATTCGTGTGGAGGTTCCCGATATATCTCAGGCCTCCAAGCCAAGCATTGGCCTAACATTTTTCGATCGAGAACTTTGCGGCGGCCCTCTCGACGTTGATGCGCTCGAGGGCAGGTGATGCTAACAGGGACAAAGATGTTTGATATTGTACAGGGATGGATGCATAGGACGGTACAGAGTCAGCCGAGCACATTTGCGTCGGCCTTCTTCTTCTTTTTGCTGTTCTTTTGGAAGGCTCTCCAGTCGGCGACGCGGTGGTCGCGTGTGGATTCCCAGGCGGCGTCGTGCTCGGCCTTGCGCTTGCGCTCGGCAACGGCCTGCTCCTTTTTGCGCTGCACCTCGCCCTCGGCCTGATGCTGGATGCGGATCGCCTTTCTTCTGCGCAGCTCGTCGTCCACCATGAGTTCCTTGGTGGCCTGGCGGACACGTTCGTCCCAACTCGGGCTGATGTTGGCGAGGCGTGGGTCGTCGTAGGCGGTAGCAAAGGGCAGGTCGAGCTGCTTGAGCACCATCAGGCGTGCGTCCATGACCGTCTCATCGAGCAGCTTGCGCTTTTCCTCGTCGAGAAGATGGCTGGAGGCCTTTTTGAGTAGGTCGAACGCTTCGACTGCTTTTTCTGTATGATGAGGAAAGCATCAGATTTGAGAGGGCAAGGTGAAAGTCAGTGAATGACGCATTTGGCAGGATAACGGGTTGCGAGGATGCGCACCATGCTTGACCTTGTCCGGATGGATGAGGAGCGACTTTCTGCGGTAGATGCGGTTGATCTCCTTATCGTCCGCTTCAATGGGCACCTCGAGCACATCGTAGGGATTCAAGCGGAATGCGCTTAGGATGCGGTCGATCTCGAGCTGCTGCAACAGGGAGGTTCGCTCCAATGCAAATGCCCTTTTGTCGTTGACTTGCGTGTCTGATGCCGCGCTGGGCTGGGCGGTGCCTTGGACTCCGGTGCCTTGGACTCCGTTCGCGGCGCGTGACCTTTCGCCGGCGTCGGATGGTTCCGCAGCATCAGGTTTGGGCACAGACCGCGGAGGTGCAGGCGGTGGTCCTGGAGGTGGGCCGGGTGGTGGACCGGGCGGCGGTGGCGGTGGTGGCGGTCGCCCCGTCATGCTGCTCAAGAGAATGTGCAGGTGGTGACGGGCAGACGATGCATGTGGGCGCGAAGAAAGTCGACTCTCGAGCGTGTGGAGAGCGGCTCGAGTCGGGATGCGGCCGAGCTTCGAGCTTGAGCGTTGAGCTTTGAGCTTGACCCTGCCCGACAAAACTCACCGACGGGTGCTGCTGCTGCTGCAGGGACTGCACTGGCTCAGTTGAAAGGGCGTGAAATCAGTCGAATATGCAAAGCAAATCAACCGGCCGCCTCCACTCGGCCCTTCGACGTTTCCGACAGGCGAGCGTCAACTCTCCCACCAGTCACATCGACAGCCTTGCCTCAGTCACCTCCATCATCCCATCACTACCGCACTTTGGCGATGCGGATCAGGACCAGCGGCCATGCTCCCCTCACTGGCCCTTAGCTCGTCCAGCTTGGACCAGTTCCGCAAGAACGTCTATCGGCCCCGTCTCTGTCTCCTCCTGCTGCTCGTCCTCCTCAGTCCCCACAATACCAGCCAGCTCGCTTCACCCGATGCCTCCACTCCCGACACTAGCATCAGCCAGCCAGCGCAGCCAGCGCAGCCGAGCTGGGGTCTCAGCGTGATCGATGGCCTCGTTATAGCTGCACCACCACCCGCATCCCAGCTGCTTTCGGCTCTCTCCCCGACCGCTCCGCAGAGCGAGTCGGCCCTTCCGATTGGTGCATCGCATCCCTCTCCCGCCCCGTCGCAATCCGCGACGCATGGAGATGGCGCAGCGCCGTCTACGCAGCAGGGACAGCCTCCGCCGGGCTCGCTCTTCCGCTTTCCGAAGCTGAGCTGGGGTCTGCTCGTGGACGAGCACGTGCTGCCTGCGCTCGTCACCCTGCATCTCCTCTGGGCGATCCGTCTGGCCGGCATGGCCGTGGAGGACGGTGCGATCAAGAACTCGCTGCTGGGTGCAAAGTCTCCCTTCTATGCTGTCACCCTCCCCGTGCTCTACCTCGGCGTGCTGTCGTGTCTGGCCCTGCTTGCCGGTCTGCCCGTGACCATGGCGGCGATAGGTGCAAGGTGCCTCGTCTGGCGAGAGGCGCTCGGATTTGCCCCTCTTCGCACTGTCGCCGTCGATCGCAAGTCCAGCTTCCGTGCGGACGGACTGCTGCCCGCATCGCTCTTCGTGATGCTCGAGATGGCCAGTACTCTTGTGCATCTGCTGAGCGTCCTGCCCAAGATCGACGCCTCGCCCTTTTCGCACATGCTGCCCGCGCAGCTCAGGCTGCCATCACCTTCGCACATGCCGCCGCTCGTGGAGCTGCTGCCTCTTCCGCAGTTCATCAAAGCGGCACTCGCCGAATCGGCCACAATGCCCCCGTCATCCAGATATGCCGGCCGTCGCAGGCCCATGATGCCGCCACTTCGTTCGGCGGCGCCGACAGCCGCAGACACTTCCGCAGCACAGCATCAGGCACCACAGCAGCAGCCCACGAGTGCAACGTCTGCTGACGCAGTACCCAGCCCGGCCGGCGAGCCCACCGCGCGTCAGACCTACCGCCGCGTCGGAGCACCTGAAGACGAGGTCATCAGCTCCCCGAGCGTCACGCGGCCCATCGCCCCTCTCACTTTGCCCGAAAACGATGCTACAGAGCCGGGCAGCTCGCCCTCGGCGTCTCGGCGTCGACGTGCTCCCCGCCTGCGCGGCCAGTCGGTGCTCGTCTCGACCAAGTGGTTCTCGGACACAGCCACGGCGCTATTCGACAAAGCCATGGGTGCGCTCATCTACTCGGTCATCACGCTGCGGCTGCCGACGCTCTCGCCGACGTCGCTGCCACCTGTACTGTCGCTGCTGAGCCTGCGCTCCGAGCTCGCTTCGCTCACGCAGGTGTGGACGCGCGCACGCAGCTCCGTCGAGTGTCTCGAATTTGTGCGCCGCCGCTGGGGCGTGCAGCTCGAACGAGCGCAGGACCCCTACACCTCGGTCGTGCGCTCCCGTGCAAGCGCCGCTGCGGGCGACTACAAGTGGAAGTCGTACGACGATGTCTACTGCGCGATCTGCTTTGAGATGACGCGCCCAAAAGCAGACGCAGACAGCATCCCAGAAACGAGCGGCGATAGCGAAGATGGCAACGCATCGCAACACGCGAACAGATTCGAATTCTGCCGGCTCGATTGCGGCCACGAGCTGCACGATGTCTGCCTCGTCTCCTGGCTCACCGCGCAGGCATTTTGCCCGACGTGCCACGTAGTTCTCAGCTTCAGCCCGCGTGCTTCTAGTCGCCGCTCGACGAGTCAAACGTGAATGCACAGAGCGTCACATCGCAAGCCATGACATCTTTTCATTCTCCATGACGAGCGCAGTCTCCATCGAGCGTATAGGATTATGCACGGCATCTTGAGCGGACCCGAGTGCGGATGTCGGAGACTCGACCAAAATGCGGAATTGCCATAAGAGGCAGGAGACATGTGACGGTGCAGCTCAGAGGAAGACCAACACTTGGACGCGCGCCCCCTCAGCCGATGTGCTTTGAAATCCAAGCCACGATATCCGAAAAAGTGGGCTCGCAGCTCAGAAGCACCTTTTTCGGTTTGGTGACTGCAGCTGGAAGAAACGACGCTGTTGCTGCACGGCTTGCTTATCTGGCCTCACACAGCAGCGATAGGCCCTTCATATGCCATTGCGCCACGTCGCAAAACCCACATTGAAGCAGACGGCCACCATCATCCGAAGCGACGCCGAGATAAGCTCGACCGTCATCGAGAGCGTACGTTCCAGCGCGACGCGACCCTGTCTTGCCACGCACCACCACAATCATGGTGTCGGCCCGACAGTCCACCGCGCTCTTGCGCAGCACAGCGCGTACCGCCTCGCATGCGGCACGAAGCAGGAGCACCACATGTGCGGCAAACAGTCGGTCCTCAACGGCGCTGCAACACGGCATGACCGCACTTCCGGCGGCGCGGCTGGTGCAAGCCCCGAGGCGCACCATGCACACCTCGCACTGCAGAGCTTCCTCAGCCGCAGCGTCAGCCGACAATGTAGCCACCTCGGAGGCCAGTGAGACCGAGCACGCGGTCATCTCTACGTTTGATCTCTTCTCGGTTGGTATCGGCCCCTCGTCGTCGCACACGGTCGGCCCCATGCGTGCCGGCGTGATCTTTGTCTCGGACCTGGCCGACATGGGTCTGCTGGAGCGCGTGCACACCATCAAGATCAACCTCTACGGCTCACTTGCACTCACTGGCGCCGGCCACATGACGCCTCAGGCGCTTCTCGGCGGCCTCGAAGGCGACGACTGTGAGACCGTCGATCCTCCCTCGGTTCCCGTGCGCTTCGAAGAGATCAAAAAGGCTAAGCAGATCCACCTCGGCAAGAACCTCTTCAAGACGCTCGGCGCCAACGCCAACGGCAAGCCAGTCACCAAGGGCAAGCTCATCCACTTTGACTACGACCGCGACCTCAAGTGGATGTTCGGACAGGTGCTGCCGCATCACTCCAACGGCATCCGCATGAGCGTGTTCGACGAGCAAGGCGAGATGCTCGCCACTAACGACTACTACTCAGTTGGAGGAGGGTTCGTCGTCAATGGTGCGCTTGCCACGCCATCGTCTTCCGCATTATCAGCGCGATCCTCGTCTACGCAAGCACCCGCGCAAGACCCGACCGCAGCTGCGCCGCTGCACGATGAGACCATCGAGCTTTCGGCGCATCCGATCGACTGGGGCGAAAACGTGTTTTACAAGCAGATCCGTCGCAAGGACGCCGAAGACGGCCGACGTGCCGGCTCGGCTCCTGTTGTCGAAGGCCTGCTTCCGCAAGTCGAAGCTCCGACGCCAGCAGCCGACTCGACGTCAAGCGCACTTGCCACCACATCTCGCGAGACGCCAGCTCACGAACCAGAGAAGCTCACGGCTCGCGCGTCGTCCGGCCCGCCGTTTCCGTACCACAATGCAGCGAGTCTGCTGCGCCAGTGCAAGACGCGCAACCTCACGATTGCGCAGGTGGTGTACGAGAACGAGCTCACCTGGAACCCACCGGAGGTGGTGCACGAGAAGCTCGTCAAGATCTGGACCACCATGGACGAGTGCATCCGCGCCGGCGTCGAGAGCACCGAGCACACGCTGCCCGGCCCGCTTGCCGTGCGTCGTCGCGCGCCATCGCTGTACGCCCGCCTGCTACGCGGGCTGTATCGCGGAGCATCGCTGCCAGCAGGAGGCAGCCCGTTGAGCGGAGCGGCTAGAAGTGTTTCGGGTGAAGGGCCCGGGGGGATCGACAGTCCACCTCCGCGTGCGTCGACGGACATGGTCTCGCAGATCGGCGCCACGGGGCTGACACGCACGCGCATGATCGGCTCATTCAATCATCCCGTCATGCCGTGCCCGCCGCGCCGCACCAACTTCCCCGCGATCGACTACCTGACGTGCTACGCGATTGCGACCAACGAGCAAAACGCCGCGGGCGGCCGTATCGTCACGGCGCCCACCAACGGCGCCGCCGGTGTGCTGCCGAGCGTGCTCAAGTACTGCTTTGAGTTTATCTTCGACGACGACCCTGTGCGCGACCTGGAGAACTTCCTGCTCACCGCCGCTGCGATCGGCATGCTCTTCAAGCGAGGTGCCACGCTCTCAGCTGCCGAGGGCGGATGTATGGCCGAAGTGGGTGTGGCTACCGCCATGGCTGCTGCTGGATTCGTCGCCGTGCTTGGTGGAAGCCCCGAAAAGGTGCTCCAGGCAAGCGTGATTGGCATCGAACACAATCTTGGCCTCACGTGCGACCCGCTCAATGGCCAGGTCCAGATTCCGTGCATCGAACGCAACGCACTAGGAGCCGTCAAGGCCGTCACTGCGGCTCAACTCGCATTGGCCGGCGACGGCAAACACTCGGTATCGCTAGACGACGCCATCACCGCCATGCGCGAAACAGCCCGCGACATGCACACGAGCTACAAGGAGACCTCCCTCGCCGGCCTCGCTACGGCCGTCAAGGTGCCAGTCGCAATCCCCGACTGCTAGAAACAACGCCCCTATCCACGTCAGGACAATGCTTTACGCCCATGTTACGATTCCCATTTCTGAACTTAGACTTGACTTGCTACACCCAGACTGCACTTGCATCGTCCGAATTGCTGCGCTGTGCGACTTTTTCTGCGTTCGAATCGTTCCGGATGGAGACGAGGCTAGATGTCCGTCCTCCAAATGTCCTGCAGAATGCCCGACCACTGCGACGAGCCGAGCACGTCGTTGAGGATAAAGTCGAGCGAGTCGTATGCCACCGATGGACGGCCCTCTTCGTTTCGCATGCTGAAATCGGCGCCAGGCACCGTGGCACCGCCGTCGAGCGCCGTACCGTTGCCGTTGCCCATGGCCGCGTACTGTGCAGCCAGAGGCATCGGCGAGACCGTGCCCGAAGCGCTGGACCCATCCAAGGACGACATCGGCGGCGCTCTGAACGCCGAAAATGCCCCTTGCTCCGTCGGTACCCCGAGCGCCCTTGCCTGCGACTCGACGCTTCGAGGCAGCGCGGCTGCCAGCGACTCGCTCGCGTTCGACGCAAACGCAGGGCCTGCACCGTTCGGGCTAGGCCCATTCCCCTGCGACGAGGAAACATTAGCTGCAAACATCGACGCAGTCATGCTGTACAGATTTGACCCCGGCCCGTGCTGGCCACTGCGCATCGCGTTCGGGTTACCCATCGAAGCAGCGTTGGCACTCGAGTCGAACGCCTGCACCGCATCAAAGGTCCGGCTCGTCGCCATGTCATCTTGTATCAGCGCCTCGTACCGCGCCAGATCAGCTGCAGGCGCGGCGCTTTCGTGAGATTGTTCAAAGAGCCGGTTCGAGTCACGACTGTTGCTAGGCCCATCCCGACCATTGGGTTCAGTGAACGACGTGGATGTGGATGTTGTGCGCTGGATATCCTTGTTACGACTGCACTGCGTCCACAGCACAATGACCTTGAGCATGCCTTGAAGGATGAACGCGCACGTGGCAGCAATGCTGCCATTCTCGATCGAGCCTATGGGATCCAGCGAGAGCATGGCGGCGATCAAGTCGGAAAAGACCAGTCGCCACGACTCGGCGCGCTTCGGTGGCGTCTTCCACAATTGGAACATTGTAGCGTGCCACTCCATGGCGTTGAAGGCTGCCTCGAGCGCGTAGCCGCACAAATTCATGATGGGAACGACAGTGCGTGACTGCCCATCTCTCATCCAACTCTTGCCGCATAGCCCGGTGCCAGCACTGGCACGTGCATCTCGGCAAAGGATCGTGGTGTTGACCAGCACCTTTTCAGCAGCCAAAATGCGGTGCTCGCCATAGCGTGTCAGGAACTCCCTCATCTCTGACGAAGCGTTTTCGCCACGAATCATCAGAGCCAACTCCTGTGTCTGCACGTCTTCCTTTTTGTCGATGCCCAGCCCGCGCAAGATGCCGATGCACAGGACGAGCAGAAAGCCGGCCGTGGTCTCGATCGAGAGCCACGAGCGAAGCAGGTGCGAGTCTTGGTTGAGATCGGCGAGACGGTCTCGAAATTCGTCGTCGATGGAATCAACGCTACGTTTGTAGTCGTCCAGAATCGTGGCGAGCCTGAAGAGACGATCCGACTCGTCGAGGTCGACAGGAGTGGTGCGGATGGCGTGGAATGCCTCGACCAGCCGCCGCATTCCGAGGCAGCGCATGGCGAGTCCGATGCTGCCCAAACGGCGGCTGCGCGACCAGGCTTTGCGAGCAAAAAGATCATTCTCGTTCTGCCCTGCCTCGACAAGGCGTGCTGCAGCGTCAGTTTCGCCAAGCTCCAGCGGCAAAATCAAGGAGCGGCTCCAGTCGTCTGAGAAGAAGCGGTCGTCGACGCTTTCGAAGAGCTCGTCATCGCCTAGCGTGAATGAAGTGAGCCACGTCTTGACGCTGGCCCAGGTCATGGCGGTGCGCTTTGTCTCGAACTCGTCCAAAGGGCTGGTGGACGAAAAGAATGAGTAGGGCGCAGCTGCGGATATTGCGACACGATCCAAGCGGACCGAGCGAGCGACTCGCTCGGAGGCGCTGATGAGCGAGTCGGTCCGAATGCGGCTGCGAGAGGGGCCGGGGATGGCCGAAACGTCGACGGGGAAGAGAGAGAGCAGCTCTAAAGCTTCGACGCCCTTGCTCGAGCGCGGCGAGGTGAGCACGAGACGTGCCGTGTCGCGAATGACGAAGCGCACGACGGAGAAACGGGCGACGTCGTCGTTGGGGTCGCGGATGTGCTGCAGGGCGATGAGATAGAGCACTTGTTCGAGCAGCTGGGTGGAGAGCGTCTGTTTTCCCTGGAGAGCATCTTGGCGGAGCTGGTAGGCATTGGAGATGTGAGGCATCCACAGGGTGAGATTCTCCTCGCACCAGTCACTGAGAATCTTGGATTTTGCGTCGGGGATGATCTCGGAGACGTCGGTCTCGATGGTGGCGCGTGCCGAGACGAGGCGGAAGATTTTGGATGCGAAGCCAGCTTGTCGAGGGACCAACTCGGTGAGCAGCGTGAGTGGGCGACTGCGAGTGGAATAGCGCTCCCAGGTATCAATGTTGGCCGCGTTGCTTGGGGCGCGGTCCTGAGTCTTGATGTAGGTTTCCGATGAGTTGGTCCGATCCGGTTGGCGATCTGAGCGTGCCGAGAAATCGGTTGCAGGGTCAGGCTGTTCGTCCTCGTCGGAGGTATCTGGCGTTTTTGAGACGAGCTTGGCCTCGGCTGGGTATACGATCTGGTTGCCGAGCTCGCGGCCGCCGGCGAATTTGAGACTGTCGGCATCTGCATCGGCCAGGCCGGAGGGGAGCATACCGGCGCTGCTGTTGCTGCGGTTGCTTCCCATGCTACGTCTGTCGCCGAAGGAGGAAAGAGATGCCGATGTGGACGAGTTTTGCATGGTGCGTGGGCGGTCGACGGCGACACTGGCAGAGGCTCTGCGTTTGGAGGAGCCGGGCTGGGCGGAATCAGCGTCGGCAGTGTTCTTCCTTGGTTTCTTCTTGTTGGCATCGTCGACGATGCACGATATCTGCAGCGTCTTGCAACGATGGCAAGCCTGGTGGTCAGGCAAAGGTAGAGGGCTGGAGGGCACTTCGAGGTCGGGCAGCTCGCAACGTGCCTTTCGCTGCTGGCACATCTGGCACGAGCGTCTGGCGTGGGTACGACGCGGACGCTTCTGAATGCGGGGCATCTCGGACGCATCGTCATACGAGGCAGGAACCGCATCGCCTTGAGCTGAGAAGCGGGGGAGATTCGTGTCGTTGGCAGCATCAGAGCCGCCGTAGGAATAGCCTACAGGTCGATTCATGGCGGGCGAAATGGTTCGGGAGTGGTCCGGGCGTTAGACGGGGCAGCTGCCAGTGAGGCAGTATTGCTGAGATGACGACGAAGGGAGCATAGATTCCTAGTGAAGCGGGTCCGAGCGTCTCGCGTCGGCTCATCCGAAACGTCCTAGAACTTTGGCAGAACGGGGCCGGGCAGCAACAGTCAAAGTCGAGGAGGCGGCGAGCGCAAGCTTTATCGACCGAACAAGCTGCAGCGTTGAGTGCAGTCAGCCAGGTATATGTACTGGATGGCGAAAGGAGGGCGAATGCGGTCCAAGGTGTACCGGCGCCTGTCCTCGACAAGGATGGTGTCGCAGTTGTGCCTTGCGGGCGGGTGAAGGACGGAAATGGAGCCACAGCGATGCAATGCGATGCGATGCGATCGCTATTTGTCGGAGCTAGCTCATCTCGGAGGGCTCATGTCAGCGAGCTGAGGTGCTGAAGGGTAGAGGCGATGCGGTGTGATGGATGTAGGTACGGAAACTGAGCCACGAGCCAATGAGACTGTGCAGATGACAGGCACGTCGAGAACGGCAAAGCTGCTTCCACGGAGACCGGCTTGTCCGAATGCCCTTTGGCTTAGCCGCAGTCGGAGCGTCCACGTCCTCACACTTGGTCACGTCGGCTGCCTGCCGTTACTCGGATTTGGTCGAGGAGGCGGCTGCAGACCTGTGCAGGCCAGACGGTTTAGGCGCATCCACCGAAAAAACAAATCTTGAAAGATACAAAAAAATAAAATAAAAAATAAAAAATAAAAAATGGAACCTGCGCTGAGTCGGAGAATGTGGATGGTTGCGAGCGAGTCACGCACGCGAGACGGTTCGATTGGTTGTGCAGCTTGGCCACTGCTTAAACAAGTCGCTTAGAGGCTCCGTCGCTGGCTTCCCGAAGCCGCATCACGGCTTCCGTCGAGAGGACCCATCACGTTCGGACGCTTCAGCTCCCGCCTGCATGTCCCTTTCGTGCATCGGCACAACGTAGTCGAGGAACAGCAACTTTCGACCGCGACGACGAAGGAATTGTGGCGGCGCCCACCACCAACCAGATGGCGGCAAGCAATGCAAATGAAGTTCATGCGAGGCGGACCTAGAGCCGTTTGAGTGGGGATTGCGTGGGGGAGGCGCCAGGGTCGGGTGGCATGAGCCTGTGATGCTGCGGCAGCATTCTGTGCGCCGAGGCTCATTGTTCCAGAATCAGCCGGTCGGCACTGTAGAACGTGGACCAGAGCAGGCGAGGCGATGGCAAGCACCATGGGAATGGCAGCAGAGCGATGAGCGGCAAGCGAGACAATGCCTCGGCAGCAGGCACCGTGGGTCGCGGGCCAGGGCGTCATGACCCCACTGGCTGTGATGCCAGGCCACCCAAAGCGACGTAATGAGAGTCTCGTTGGATGCCCCGTCAATTGGCCTCGTCGACTTGCAGATCCAGCCTTGCTCGCATCTAGCACATCTCAGTACGATTGCATCTGATCCGTGGGTCGTCTGAGACCCTCGAATTCTCTGCGGCTTGTTGTTGAGAGCGTGGGTCTGCGGCGTGAGATCGGAACGGCGATGCACGGTTGCGAACGCGGGATGGACGCGTCTGCAAAGTGACAGGTGCGGGCTGTGGTGCCGACTGAGAGTTTGGCTCCGGTTCGCGCTATCAGGGCTGAACGTGCGCGCGCGCGCTTCCGACGTCAGGGCAGCTCAGGCTCGAGTCAG